GGAACGAGAAAACAAGAGAAAGAGAGAAACCGAGAAAGGATGAGTGAGTGACAGAGAGAGAGAGAGAGAGAGAAAGGGGGGAGGGGGGAGGAAAGGGAGGGGGAAAGAAGCTCCAAAGGAAAGTAGAAAGGAAGGAGGAGAGGGAGGGGGAGAATACGTACTACGAATACGCGAATACTCGACTGTAGTATAGTAATAGTACTATGATTCAGTCACACCCACATGATCCACAAGCCGGTTGTGGGTTCAAGATTTTTTTCTCTCTCTTTCTCTTTCGATACGTATTCTCTCTCTTTCGCATCTCTCCTCGTACGCACGCACGCGACACGCATCGGCACGAGGTCACGCGTACGTATTCGTATCTATCCGGCCTTGCCATGCAGCGTTCTAATCGCGCACTCATTGCGCTTGTAAGCGCAGCAGCGGTAAGAACCCGAGTATGAGCGTGGGAGTTTTCGAAGCGTCGCGCCCGGGATAATCGACGGGAATCGGCCGTATCGATCAGGACCGTAGCATCGATGACGATGGCAGCTAACAAAGTAGCGAACTTGCTTTCGAGCGAGGCAGGCAAGCTCTCTACTGTGGATTTTTTCTTTCCTTTTTCAATGGGAGTTTTGGAACTCGATGAAATTGCGACTTTCGTCGAATGTCTCTTTACTGATCGAAACGTTCCTCATTCTTATAAATCTTAGGGAATAAATTGTCAGAAATTTCGTTTCTCCTTTCCTCAAGAGATTGGACACCATACTTTTGCTTCGTCATATTTTTCTTGCTTGAGATAAAATGATATGTATTCCCCTTCTATCTTAAACAAATCCTAAAAAATATGACAGAAGTTATCGAAACGAATACGATGTTTAATTTTTTATTTAAGGATTTTTATCCCGGGGCTCCTCGCGGCCACAAACCGATCCTGATCGCGCGCCTCGGTCGAGTGCTCGAAACACCTGACGAAACGTCCGCGGCGATGCAACTGATAAATACAGAAGTGATGGTAAGAGGGGGGGGGGGGCAAAAGGGGCAGGACGTACACTCGGAATGTATCAGAACGTATATGCGCGAATTCCCGCGCGGCCGGACGTACCAAGGATCGCCTTTGTGCGGACGATCGAACGGAACGGGTCAGCTAGTTCTGTGGAAGATGCATCTTAATCCTTCCTCTTTATTCGTTTTCCGATCTACGATTTAGCACGGGAAATGCGGGCGAGTCTCCGTCATCGATTTCACCAATACGAGACGATCGGGAACGTTGAAGGAAAATTGTCTCGTGTTCATTTTTACAAATGTACAGAAATTGTGCCCGTTTCTACCAATGTAGATTAACATTAATCTTGATTACTTTTTCTATGTCTAATAATTAGAAAAGTATAAAAAGTATTCTCTAAAACTGTAAGATTGTATCTTACTCTGTGTAGAGTGAAATCTCTCACTCCTAAAGATTGAAAATTGAGCCTCTCTTTTTCAAGACTCGCTCACACAATTTGTATTTTCTTAAAGTAAGATTCCTCTCTAAAAAAACATTTTAGGGAATAAATTAAATGTACATTGGTAGTAAAAATGAACATCAATTCGTTAAAATTAATTTACTAAAAAATTAACTTTAATCTCGGTTTAATTTGCTCTAATTCTTCTTCTAATCCTCAGAGCTAGAAAAATTGCAAGATTACCCAATTTGTATAATAATTCTTTAATTCACAAATTTCTAATTTTTAAGATTGAAAAATATACAATTTTCTAGAATTAGGAAAATATAATTTTTTAATTGAAAATTCCTTAGAATTATGGAAAGATAAAAACTTGAACCGAAATTAAAACTAATTTACAATGATAGAAATGTTGAGCATCAGTGAAAATTGTCGAGGCGACAAGACCCGAAGTCGGAGCCGCAACCGAGGACCTCGGTGCGGTGGCGAACTCGCGTGAGCGCGGCCGAGTTCTTTGTGATCAGAGCTCGACTGAGAAACCGGTTCCATTGGCGGAAGACCCCCCCCCTCTCTCTCTCTCTCTCTCTCTCTCTTTCTTCGTTTCTATCGCTCCACCAGGCGAACCGAATGAATCGCACGCGGCCCGTTTCAATAGACGAGGGCCCCGTCGACGCGGTGTGTACGCGCGTAAACTGGTTATCGCCGATCGTATGTAATCGACATGCGGACGACACGCGTCCGCGGCGGTTGCGTATCGATAAACGCATGCACGCAGATGCGAGAACGATGTGTCAACCCTCGTCTCTCTCTCTCTCGCTCTCTCTTTCTCTCTTTTTCTCCGCCCTTTTCCTCTTTTTTTTCTCTTCACGCCAGATTACGTAAGCGGGATGAATGTTCCATGGACCCGTCCGCGATCGTGAAGCTAAATATTTAACAAGAAAAAGATACTTGGAATATTTAATACAATCGAATCGCATAAATTAATTACCTGTATATATACACGTAAAAAAAATTGAAAGAGGAACTTATCGATGATCGCCACGATGTTAATTGGACTGAAATACATATAACGAACGCGACAACGAACTCGAGACGCGAAGTACGCTTATCAATGTTTTATTATAAAGTTGCAGTCATTGCACATTATACAATTTTTACGCATTAATTTCGTGTAATTTTTTTACACGAAAGTTACACACTCATTAACGCTATATAGAAATATTACAAACAGGTACAAAAACTACGCTACTTTAATTGCTATCTTATACTACCACTCTCGCTCGTTTTTTTTTTCTCTTTCTCTTTCAATCACAACCACCTATTTGTTTATCTAAATGCCTTGTAAGCGTTAGAGCTTGGTCTTGCTCGCGTGGAATGAAATTACGTTCGAACGCAGCGAACGATATACATGTAAATACAATGTACAATTACGCCATATCGTAACCGGATGAAACCTCGACGATGAAATTCTGAAAATGTGTGGTGCACGACAAATCCAATTCGAATTTATCAAACATTTTTTACATTAAAAATATTATAAAAGAACAAAAATTTATCATTGAAACCTTATTCATGTTCATATAAAGATAAAACTCAACGATAAAATTTTTTTACTATGTCATATTCATCTATTTGAACTTATTGAAAACTTTTAACATCAGAAAGAAAAAGAATTTATCCGTTGGAACTTTATTCATATTTTCATAAAGATGAAACTGAACAATTAATTTGAAAATTACGACAAATACGTCTATTTGAATTTATCGGAACTTTTTAACATCAGAAGGAAAAATTTATTGTCGAAATTTCGTCCATATTTTAATAAAAATAAAACTCACACTGGAATTTTTTAAATTGATGAACTATGACAAATTCATTTATTTGAACTTATCAAAAATTTTTAATCAAAAAGAAAAATCGTCGTTGAAACTTCATGTTGTAATAGGAGATAAAATTTTCTATGATTCGTCTATTAAAAATTTATTGAAATTTTTGAAATCCACAAATATATGAATGGGAAACAAAATGTTATCATCGAAACTTCATCCATATTCTATAAGCATTCGAACATTCCCTTATATAAATTTGGAATCCTAAAATTGTCAACGTAAAAAATTGATACCAATTAAAATTAGAATAAATTAGGAATTTCCTACTTTTAATTAGCAATATCAGTCGATATATATAATACACAAAAAATCATCACGAGCTAAATACGATTTCATAAAAAAAAAAAAAGATTCTCAAAAAACTTTATGTAACAATCACGCATAAAGGAGTAGCACTGAATGAGTTACGGTCCTCGAAAGATCGATATGAGATCGCGTGTCTTATCCTTACGTAATCTATATGCTAATCCGCTACGTTCTTATTTTATCTTTGACCATTCTTGGCAGTGACGATTCGTGAGCTTCGTGTTAATTTATTTTCTATCGCGGACGGTACGTGGAAGCTGACGCGTATTATTTGTGTTCTGTATTTTTCGAGAGTTGCAAATAAAAAGATCGAGAGATTAATGGATCATTAAAAAATGTTTATTATAAAATTGTTGTGGCGCCGTTAGACATGTTAGGCGAGCGCTAACTTAGTGATACACAATAGTCGTCCCCGGGCAAGCACCTTCTGTCATCGGATTTAATCGGTTCGGAATTTTTCTTGCTTGTTAATGGCTATTTTCTTGTAAATATGCGAACATGCGTAGAGTAATATTAAATAACCATTTGTGTTTGAAGAACTTTTCTATGCGCATGCCTACAGGATGGTCCCACATTATGGTTCTAAAAAAAAATAGCCTTTGTACATTGTGTATGTACAGATATTTGTACACTTAAAAATTACAGTTATGTACAAGCGCATTGTATAAAAAAGGTACATCGTCGTATAAAACACAAGTATTTACAAAATCTCAGACTGTAAAAAAAGTTACAGGACGCAATTATTTACAATGGTCTGGCAATAAAAAAGGAGGTGTGTGTACTTGGCCGCGTGTATATATTTAAATAGGAGATCATATAAATGTGTTCCGAGGATTTAATCCGCCTCGAGAAGCGATTCGGCACCCGGAGGAGCGGTGCCTCCGGGCCGTAACGCCACGAGGTGCGCTTTTTTCCGGGGCGACGCCGCGTCCTGTCGTTGGACAGGTTGACAAATAAAATCGTTGCCCGTCAACATTTTCTGGCGCTTCGAGCACGAGACGAATTCGTACACCAATGGCTGCTCTTGCCTAGAAAAGTTGTTTAGTCGCGTGTCGAGTAGCTCGGTGGCATTCATGAGATCAAGATCCTCGTAGAGCTGCTCCACAACGATGTCGTCGTCGACAATGTCGATCTGCTTGGTTTCATCATACGTAACGTTCTCGTCGTCGTTGATGGTCTCGTCTACCACGGACCCACCAGTTTCGGAATCCGCGTAGCTCTCTGCGTCATCGTATGCCTCATCATGCCTGTCTCCCTCGTACTTCATTTCACCTCGCTCAAGGAACTCCAGCTGCTCCGGATTCACCATGGCTCGCTTGATCGCGCTCGGATCCTTTCTCGACCATTTCCGTACCTCCTCGTCCATCTTGGCCACTTTCGACGGATGGATGGCCCAGAGACAACCCTTTCGCTGACTACCATTGCCGGGCGGCTTCTCGATCTTCTCGAAACACTTATTCAGCGACAGATTGTGCCTCACGGAGTTCTTCCAACCAGTTGGCGCAGTCGTGAAGTAGGGGAAATGCCGGCTGCATAAACGAAACGGGAAAATGGGAAATGAAATTTGCGCGAATCGGAATTTTCATTAACAACAACAAAAAAAAAGAAATCGTATATTAGGTGTCAGAGAATTATTTGGTAATTGACACTTAAATTTATTGATAATTAAATTTATATAAAATTGGATCGATCGAATTTAATTTGATCAGGATTCTAATAATATTCGGATAAAATTCTAGCGAATTTCATTTTCTTGAGAAATATTGCTTTTTTTCGTTATTTTGACAAAACGAGACAATCTGTAAATTAACTGTATTTTAACGTTGTTTGAGATGAAAAAATTCAAACGAAACACGACTGCAAGGAACGACAGTTATTTTACAAGCATAGCCGATTTTACAAGCATGGAGTTGCAACGACAAGAAATAAAGGCAGGTGGTAAACGAAGCCTGCCGTCGATTTCTAGGGGGGACTGTACCCCGGCGTGCCCCTGGTTGTTCCAAGGGCCCTGTACAAAATGGCAGCTTCTCGCTTAGCTCCCTTTCCGACCCGAGAATAAAGAGGGAAAAGACAATACTTTTCCCCCTCGTATACCTAAGCGTAGAGAGTAGGGGACCTCGCCAGTCCCTTTATCCTTCCGGCCAAATGGCCGAAAATAAGCAAACGGACGACACGTTATTCATCACGTAAAAAGTTCCTTGTCGTTCATCCCGAAAACGTTATTTCTTACTACTCACGTTCATTGCAAACTATAATGAATAATATATTAACAAACAAATTCAGAGTAAATATTTCAGTTTCAATTTCTAAAAGCACGAGAAAAAAATTTATTAAAGAAGGTGTTCTAAAAATTCGATCGAAATTATTTTATTCAAAGCAAAAGTAAATGAGTTCCTTTCTGAAATTTTTAAGAAAAAAATAATTAGATCTTATAAAATGATAAAAATAGTAATTTGCAGCAATAAAAATTTTCAAGCAATGGGCAAAATATTGACTTGGAGCGCACATTTGAAAAGTGATTAAATTAAAACAAAATTTTTGTCTCTGGAAATTTTTTTGTCTAAAAATTATTTAAATATTCATTTAATATTTAATTATTTAGCAATTTACACAAGTATTGATTAAATATTTAATGTATTTTTCTGTATTAATAAATTTAAGAGCACTCACCACATGAAATTGTAGATTTCTGAGACTGGCAACGATCCCGTTCGGCTATTCTTCAGTGCCATCGCGATGAGACATGAGTACGAGTACGCGGGTTTCGGATAAGAGTTGTCACGGTTCCCTGACGTTAACTCCTTCTCACGCTTTGCCGCCTGTATCATGACCGTCGTCGTCGCACCTGTACTGACGTCGTGCACATTATTGTTGTAGGACATATGTTTGCGAATCTGTTGCAACGCCTGGGCACCTGGATTAGTTTGCAACATCTTGATGTCCTTGGCTGTGCTTGATATGGTGCTTATTTTAGGATGCAACCTCGTCAGTTGTATCGTCGGCGAGGAGATGGCCACGTTGGCACCGGATAACGTCCTGGCGCCGACGTTGCCCGACGACGACGATATCGGCACCTCCACATTCAAGGGTGTGAGCGACTTTTGAGTCATGTCCTGCTCCTCATCATCCGTCTCCTCGTCTTCCTCTACCTCTTCCTCTTCCGTTTCTTCTTCCTCCGTCTCGTACTCCGTCTCATTATGCTCGTTATCCTCAACTTCGATCTCTTCTTCCTCCTCGCTTTCATTCTCTTCATCGTTTTCGGTTCGTTCGATCTCACTTTCGTTCTCTGTTTCATCTCCCTCGTTTTCAACAGCGTTCTCCTCCACGCTCGCTGTTTCCAGCATCGCTGCGTCGCTATTTGTCGCGGGGCTGCGGATAGGCATGTTACACGGCAGTATCAAATTCGGATCCAACGTCAAAGCCAGTTCGCTGTCACTGTCCAAATTCAATTCTTCCAGGTTGCTATCAAACACAGACATAATATTAGAGTAAGTGCACACGATAAGACAAAGGGCACTTTTCGTCCATTTAATGACACAAACATCAGTCTATCTTTCTTGACATTCAATGAGTATCAAGATAAAACGACATTTGTTGCTGAAGCCACCCAATGTGTTGGTCGATTATCGTTTGTGGAAAGTTGACAATGTATGTAATCGCGCAATACAATTGTTACTGCTTTCCATAAATGATACAATAATCATATTATGTCGATATTTTGCTTATCACACATGCGCTCTTTAAACTTTTTATAAAATTAATTAAAATTGAATAAGATTTTCTTAATTCAACTTAACTTTTGTAAATTTCCGAGTCTCAGTAAAATATTTTCAAATCCTGAATTAACACATTCCTCTCTCTTTTTTAATTTTAAGCAACGTTTACTGGCACTAATAAATGTCTCTGTTTCATGGTCATCATAAATAGAAAATTCGAAGAGTTTCTTTACCTGTTCGAACTGCGGCTTTTGTCATTCATGGCGAGCGGATCTTCATCGGGTTCCGTCAAGACGTCGTCGAAATCGAAGCCAAGGCCTGGACCAAACCAGCGTGGACCACCGATTTGGCTCGTATTATCGCAACGCCGAATACCCATATGTAACATCTCTGGACGACCCTGGAAGGCGTCCGAGATGCTGTCGCTAAACAGACAGTCCCATGGATCCCCAGACAATCCCTGCTCCATCCCGACGGTACTGTACGCATTTACGGTATCCAATTCCATTCACTCGACTGCAAGAAGACGAATAATAGCAGCTTTAAAAGACTGTCCTTAGAAACTTGCTAAATAATGTATAACCAAACTGCAACCCGTCGCGAATTATTCACCCGGAGTTTCATTTTCGTAAAAGCGACGTAACGAAACCCCATATGAAGTTTGTCCATCGTGAAAGCGAAATTGTACTTTTATAGCTCCATAAAAAGAGTCTAGCTATATATATGTATTATATATATGTATATATATGTATTATATGTATATGCAGAGAGAGTTATAAAAACGATATTGTCTCACAGAATTTTTATATATACGCTGAATTTTATTATATCCATTTGTCCGATTATATTTTGTTACTCATCATCTCTTCGACTGTATTATGTGTTTGCAGGCGGTCATCTACGCAATTTTATGCTACAGCGATTGCATATCTGGAAATTTTCCATCATTTTCTTCCGGCCATCATCGGAACTCCTATATCTCAATGAGCGTGCGTGATTTTGTAGCGATATCCGCGACGTATTTCGGATCAACATGCATCTCATAGATCGATCATTTTTTTCACAGAATGCTTCTCCATTAAAGGCATCTAAGATCAATGTCTACGGCACCACGAATCGCTCTGTTGAGGAATAATAGCTCACGCGAGCACGTGAGAGTTCCCGAGAGAGTTCGTCGAATGAAAGCAGGTCTGTTCCTCGAAATATCGCGCTTATCCGTCGATCGAGGTGATTCAAGGATCAACCTTTGTATCTCTCAATTCATAAATCATTCCCGACGGCCTCTTTGTGTTTTAATATATATGTAAAAAAAAAAAAAAAAAAAAAATACACGAATGTATTATAAATATAGAATGTATTATCAATTTATAAGAAGCTGGCCGTGTAAAATATTCATCTCTGATTATACAAGAATCTCCGTAATTACGTCTGACTGTACGCTTAAAAAATTCCCACGTTATCTCACGTCTTTATCAACGTCGTGAGTTGCAAATACAGCGAGTACCTAGAATCGGTGGCTTGGTGTCTCACTACGCTAGGCAAAGACGATAGATTCTCTACGTACGCGAGAACCTCGTGTATGCCTCGCGTACAATTACAATTACACGCGCAGGCTGCTGCATAAGTGTGCGTATATATGCATGGGTAGAGGAGAGAGAAAGAGCGTACGAGGATCTTGAACCCACAACCGGCTTGTGGGTGTGACTAAGTCATAGTACTACAGTTGGCTTACACTATATGCACGACTTCGTAGTAGAGCCGCCTTCTCCTACGCCCGTCCCCGCAATTCTTTGTTCTTTTCCTTCTATCCTCCATGCGTCCTTCCACGATTGTCTCACATTAAGAACTAATAACGGACAATCGACGTGCTCCGCCGCTGAAACGAGCGGAATACACAAGGGATTCCAGTCAGAAGAGGCATCACGTGGCGAATTCTTATTAAAATTTACGCGCAAAGTCGTTCGCTCGGAGAAACGTTCGTGCGTAAATAGTAACAGGATTTGTCACGTAAAGTCCTCCAAGTCGCGCGCCTATGTATTTATCTCATTTCGAGCGCGATACAGCGCATCTGGGGCGAACAGATTCTTTTTTCCATTTCACGTACGAGTAGAGACGACGAGTATCCAGTCCGGCATCGATTCGAATATTCCACCGCGTAGATTGTGCGTAGTCGCAACATCCGGATCTCACGATGGACCAACCGTAGATACACACAACCGCGCCGTCTCCGTTCGGCCCGCGCTTTTCGCCGAGTATCGATCTGATACCATCCGTCCCCTTCCATTCCCTCCCCCCCCTCCCTCCTCCTCCCCCCCGGTATCTTCACCCTATCCCCCTGACATCCACCCTCGTCGTATCCTTCTTCCCCTCCCCCGGACCGTCGGCCGAGTACTTGCGAGCTGCAAGAGTGCGCACCCAGCACATATACCATGCACCAATGCCGCGCCCAGGTTCGTCAGGGTGGCACCCTAAACACTCCCCTATCCCCGTTAACCCGTTTGAAAATTTACCCCTCTCTCTCTTTCCGTCTTGCTCCCGATCTCCCTCCATTTCCTTCATCCCCTAGCTTCCCCAGCGCAGCCTGCTCGTTACCCCTTAATACCGCTCGCTAGGGGCGAATTAATGCTTCTATCTTTGTAAATAGGAAAGCAGATATTGGATGTTGTGTTGCCCGTCATTTTTAGCAAATTTGTATACGACTCCTATGCTCCTACGAAAGAATCTTCTAATAACTGCTCTCATTATCGATAATCCATAAGTAGGAAACGTTAAATACATACAAATAGTTTTAATTGTTAAAAAAAAAAAAAAGGAACTGATAGAAAATCATAATTGATAGAATCCATAATTGAAAATTTTACGCAAGAGAAGAGTACGTTTTGCGATTTAACGAATAACTTCATCTGTTTTTTCAATCTGTGACGGAAGTTTTTTGCGTTCTGCTAAGAGTGTTGATTTGGAAACGTTTTGATATGCACGATGGAAGCTTTTAATTTTCACAGCTAATTCGAAGGCGGCACGCTACACTGAAATCATTTATTTCCATCGGTCACGACACCGTTCTCGGTGGATTAATACCGACATACGTATCATTTAAATGGGACAGAGCGGCTGGCGTGCACAATGACGTGTCTGTGCGCACGTCGCATCGACGTACAACGCGTGGCAACGTACGCACGTGGCCGCGCGGAATTGGCGCGAAAAACTCTCGTTGTTGACGTCGCGTCGAGGCGACGAACGCACGTAGTTCACGGAGAGTCTCAAGTACTCACGGTAGTGTTAAAAAAAAAAAAAAAAACGTTCTTTAGACGCGCATTATTTTTCGATACGTGCCATTCGCACGTTTTTAACAAAAAAAAAAAAAACGTGCACTCCCGCCTCCTTCCTTGCTCTCTCTTCTCTTTCATTCTCACACACGGAAAGAATGGTTTTGCCGAAATGTCTAAAAGTTTAACTACTCAGATAACATGTTACATAAGATATCTACAAAAACGTCATGGGGCAAAAGACGTCTTTTAGATATCTTATAGCAACATAACTGTTATCTGGGTAAATACAGAGATTTAAAAATAATTCTATTGGACCTTTAAAATAATTATGTAAAAATCGATCGAGAAATGTTCAATACAAATAAGCGAACGTATTAGGGCCTTATATTATATAATAATATATATGTTATTCATTTCCTTTATTAGTATATATTTTTTAATATGTATGTATATGGGATGACTGTAAAATTTGGGTTAATAGTAAAGGTTATGGAGAGGTATAGCTTTTGGGGGTTTTTAATAATTTATATAGCTTTTTTTTTTTTATTAAAATAGCTATTTATTTATTTCATATTTGACTACCTAAAGCTCATGTAGAGGCTCCTGTGTATGGATCTATAATTTTAGCTGAGGTATTGTCAAAAATATGGGGAGATATGGATTAATTCGGTTAATAGAAATATTTTATAAGATTAATGTAAAGTATAGATATATAATTTTCAGATTAAGGATTGTTGGCAGAGTTACGACTGGTATTTTATGTTTAGTTCATATATAAAGGTGGATATAAAAAGTATGGTGGCTTATTCTTCGGTAGTTCATATAAATTTGATATTGTGTAGTTTAATGACTTATTTTAAGGTCGGAGTATTGGGGAGATATATAATAATTTCTCATAGGTTATGTTCATCTGAAATGTTTTATATAGTGAATTTATATTATGAGCGGTCGGGTAGTCAGTTATTGTTTTTAAATAAGGGTATAGTGAGTAATTTTCCTTCTGTTATTATGGTGGTTTTTGTTTTGTATTGTTAATTTTTCTTTTCCTTTATCTTTGACTGAAGGAGACTATATTTGGTCAAAATGAATCTTGACGCCTAATATTTTTGTGTGAATTTTACAACTTCCAATTCAAGCAAACTGTGCGATTATTTGCAACACAGTAAATTGAAGCTAAATATTATGTATGAATATCATAAATTGTCAAGCAATT